AACATAAAGAAAAGACTAAGAACACATATATCAGAACAAATAATAAGCTATTTTGGACATGTGCCTCGAAAAAATGGTCTTGAAAAACTTACCATCCAGGGAAAAGTAGAAGGCAAAAGAAATAGAGGTAGATCTCCCACACGATACACGGACCATACTGTTGCTACCATTGGCGCTCCATTGTCAGAATGTGCTAGAATGGCAGAAGATAGAAAAACGTGGAGGAACATTGGGAAACTTAGCTAATAGCTTCATGATATCACGATACCTGCATCAGGTTAACGACTAAGAAGAAGAATAAGATGTTATTTCCGCTCACCGTCAACCGTCTAATTACATATTGAAGAACAAGATTAAAGAGCGTTGGAGCCAATCTGTCGCCTTGTTTCAGTCCATGCGTTATCGTAAACGCATCAGTGATCTTTCCTTGAATACATACCTCTGCTTCTGTTTCTGAAAAAAACAAAGAAGAATTGTTCTATCTATTGAATCATAGGCTTGTTTAAAATCTATAAAGAGATTGTAAACGTCCATGTCATATTCCCTTGCTTTGGATAGTATTTGTTTAATGTAAATAGTTGGTCAATGATAGATCTATTTTGTCTAAGCCCTGCTTGATATACCCAGATGATTTTTCCGTGAGAGGTTGAAATCTTCGATTAATGATGTTTGTACATTTTGTATCATACAACCTTGTAATTCTTAGGCAACGATATGTCAACATTTGTGTCAACAACTAATACATATATTTTTAATTATTATAAATTCTTAAATTTTAATGAAAGTCTATTATAAGAATATTAAAAAACGTCTATTTTTAGTTTGAAATTTAAACACAAAAAAAGTTACATTAATTTCACGAAACTTCTTTCTTTACTCAACATATTTTCTGAGGTTGGCAACTGGACCTTCACTGTTACTCAAAAAACTGTAGGTATCTATACACTGGGACAATGACCACAGATAAGAAAATGAGGGTGGAAGTTAGCGCTGGAACACAAACATTGGAAAACTCGTCTCCTTAAAAAACTGGAACAGGTACAACTGAACACAGTGGCAACATGTGGTTATCTTCAAAATTTCAGTCTAACTGTAACTATTATTTAAACTGTTATTATACTTTACACTGCTACACATTTTCCCTTAAAAAAAAGGTAAGAAGGAGGAAGAAATAACACAAATTCGACAAAAAATTTGCACAAACGCTGGAAGTAGTTGTCTCAGACAACGACTCAGCGAGAGTGAGTAAATTCTTAAACATCATTCGCTTAACTTGATATAAACAAAACACTTACAACGAAAATGGGAATGCAAAATATCCTATTTCTTTGAAGCACAAAAATCCCCAAGCAGCTTCGATTAAAAGAAATGCCGAGGAAATTCACATCTGTGAAATATAAACTAACCATAAAATGGTTTACACTAACTCCAGCGACGTAAAAAGGAATTGAAAATAATTTTTTGTATTTTAACTTGTACGAATAGGAAATGAATTACACTAAAAACATTCTTCGATATTTTATACATACCGGGTGGTGAATCGTCAAACGGGCCATAGGAAAATCAATGAGAAATTTTAAATTGTTGAATTGCTGCTTCCCTAATTATTTTAGATCAAAAGTCATGAAAAACTATTTGTAGAGGACTAAAATCTGAATTAAAAACAAATGTTAAAACCGTTCTACGAATCAAATGTACTTCAAAATTTTGAAAAAATGTGATACATTTTTCAGACCACCCCTAAAAGATAGGCCACACGTAATGCAAGAATATATATTAGGACGTTTGTGTTTTATCATATTAATGTCAGATGTTTGACAATTTGAATTGTCAATTTTTTTATTTTATAATTAAATTATAAACAATGAATTTTACTAAATACTACTACTACTGAACATTATTACTTTGTGAACAATAAATTATATTGTTTACAAATCGATCAATATAATGAAATGTACTCAGTTGACGAAAGATCGCATAATGTTGTATTCAGGCAATAGCGCGAACCTTTTCCTGCCACTACCGGATCTTTATTTAACGTAAGATATTCTAATTCACTAAAATTTAATTCCATGTTAAGTTAAGTTATACAACAATTTAATGAATTCCAATATACTGTTACTGTGATCTTTATTCCTAATAATAATATATGATTATTTCTAAACATAAAACTATAACAAATGTTATAATAAAACATGAATAAAACATTTTTATTATTGCTTTTTTCTCCTCAACTGAGTACATTTTTTAATCAACTTAATTTTTTTTAAACAATAAATCACAAAATTTTGGCCATTTAAATCATAGATAAATATAATATAATTAATTTAAATATTGTCAAATATCAGAAACAATAATATGACAAAACGCAACACGTAATACACATTTTTTCACAGAAAAATGTATTATATTTTAGCAAAATTTTGGAATACGTTTAAGTCGTAGAATAATTTTAACAGTTGTTTTCGATACATATTTGAGTCCTCTACAAATAGTTTCCCATGACTTTTGGTGTAAAATAATTAGGGAAGCAGGAATTCAACAATTTAGAATTTACCATTGAGTTTTCTATGGCCCGTTTGCCGATTCACCACCCTGTATATGAGGGGATTCCAGTGTATCTACCAAGGAAAACGCAAATGCTACACTACAAAGATTGAATCTTCTACAGAAACCATTTTATAGAATCACTTTATAAGATTTATAATACAAAGCGATTGCAATCCGCCTTCTAGTTTTCAATCTATAAAAACTGTGATGCTAAATTTAAGAATGGCGTCTAGTACAACAGATGAACCTCAAAATGGACATTTTAACATTTCTTATCACGTAACTATCAAACTCCCCTCGTATATAGATTTATTTCCCGCCTGATACATACTCAAATGTGGAGATATATGCACATATATACCATAAACAGGGTTCTTCGCTTCTATGTACAGTAAAAAAATCCTCAAACTCCGAAGCGTCTCTTAAATTTGAATGTAAAATTTGAAGGGCGTTATTCACAACACCTAAACTTTTCTATGTCACGCACTTAATTTTTTTCGCCATTTTCTTTTACCCTCTTCCTTATAATTTACGTCGTCGTAGCAGCTATAATAATTTTATATTTTCTTTCTTTGCATATTTTAAAATTCAATTTGAAGGAACGGATGTTATTTTTATGTTTATTATAAAGATTAAAATAAATATATTTTCTTAAGTTAAAAATGCACTTTAGAAATGCAAAAGAAGCACTTTAGAAATAATCCAAAGATTTTATAACAAAGTTATAGGAAACATTGTAGTCTAAGGATAATATTGTATGTTCCATAAATTTGGACAATTATAAAAGTCCAAATACAGTGGTACATCAACATACGAGTTTAATTTATCTGTAACCTTGCTCTTATGTCAAATTGTTTCTCATTGAAATTCATTGAAGTGCCATTTTTCGTTCCAGCTCCCAAAACATCACCTCAGTTGTTTTTGTTAAGTGTTTTCAAGAAGAAACATTTATTTATAAATAACAAATGCATATTCTATAAAAACATAATACAAGAAAAAGTGAAGTGCTTACGGAAACACTTAATATTCATCACTGATCTTCGTTTTTTTTTGCCACACTTTGCTCATTTTCACCTACAAATTATTTGAAAAGACAGTACAAGGTGGTTTGTTTCTTCCGACATATTCAGGATATTGAATTTTTTTCGAGGTGACTTTTATCCACTAACTCTACAACTTACTTCCATAATATCAAGAGAATGATTTCATATTTATATCTCTTGTAGAGATAATCTCAACCATCTTTGGCTTCTCTTCAAAACCAATTTTCCATTAAACCACTGTATGCTGCATGCATTGATCATGTAACTACTCTCCTATCAGATCTCTCCTATCAGATACTCTCATGGAGTTTCCCAAAGAAACAATATATTCTACCACTGACACTTGGGATTCCAATTCTCAAAAGGCCCTTGCAGCTACAGCCTCAGTTCACAGCTTTTTCCATGCAGAGGTTAAGATTCTTGTTATAGCACCCAACCAAGTCTGATCAATTAATCAGGCATATCATAATGTTAAAGTGGTCCTTCTAGAACTCTTGAAGGGTAAAATTTATGATTTTCATCACCAAAAAGCTGCGATGAAAAATATTCTTGGTGTGTGGTGGTGACAATTTCTTAACATTAGAAATCACTTTCTGATCCACATACTGCAAAATAAGAGGGGCATTTGGTGGCAGATAGAGAACCTTCATAAACTTGAACTCTTCGAGTACATCATCTTCAGTACATTTGATGGGTAAGAAAGGGCATTGTTGAGGATGAAAAGGGCTTGCATAATTAGGTTGTTTCCTGTAGATATTTTTTAACAGAATGGTCAAACACCAGGTTTTCCTTTTTCATGGTGTCCCACACCTTTAGATGTGCTCTCCACACCGATAACTTTTTCTTTTAAAACCCTATGTGTAAATATCACTCACACAGCGGCTCATATCTTAAAACAATAGTTTATTAGGTCACTTGTATATTGAAATACCACTTTAGTGCAAAAGTAAATAGTGATAAAATCGCAAAGATGCAAAGATCGTTAGCGAAACAAACATAAGTATATACAAAACTTGACAAACTGACAAATAAATAAACAAGGTTTAAAAGTTTTAACATATTACCAGCAATATAATTACAAGAGACAACTGTATAAAGAAGTGAACTTGGTATTATGATGATAAATACTATTATGATGATAAATACTAATAAACATGTTACAATGATATCTATAATAACAAAGATGAACATATAATAAATGAACAAGGAAATAACCCAAGGAAATACATAAGAGCACACCTATATAAAAACAATATGGACATAATGAGGCTCAAAGTCACATTTAAACATTTTTATTCCCTTTGACGTTATTGATTTTATTCACGAATCTTATAGAAAACATAAAATCAACAATAGATCTATATCGAAAAAGATGCTCAGTAAAATTATGTTCAAAGTATAACTCACCTGTATGGGAATCGTTACACATCCTAGAAAATCGTCCTGAGAACTTTGCCTTGCTGATTGGCAAACTTGTTTGAAGAATCTACCTAGGCCTCTTACTCCTCGGATCTCATTTAACTTGCTGACAGCTTCCAGTACTGAACTTTCGTCATCATGATCCCATATATCCAAATGTATTGAATCTGTTGATATGTCATCAATGTCACTGCAACAAACAGATAGTATAGTCACTATAACTATTATTAAAAAAAACTGATATAGTATTAGACAAATTCAATTAGCAAAAATAAAAATATATCTCATTTTACTTTAATCAGATAATATTAATTTGGCATAAATAAAAAATCTCATTTGGACCTTTGACATCCAGTTTTTCATAGGTAAAGCATATCTCAATGTCATCATTCAAATTGTAAATAGAGAATTGATAATCAATTGTGTCTATTAAGGTAAGTTCTGGTACAGAATGCAAGAGTTGCAAATTTTGCATGTACAACTTGCCACCAACACAATCATGAGTACCTATTGGCATGTATTAGTTGTGATATTTCTTTTAGTTAGTTTGTAAAACTTCTTAGATGTATATATATGTAAGTAGGTACAAGGTATTTCTATGGTGTGCCCTTTTCCATTATCACCCAAAATCTGCTTCTTCTTAGTTACAAAACCTGCTTCAAAATCTGCTTCTTCTTACTTAGTTGTAAAAGAAACAAAAATACATGCAGGTCATATCAGATGTAGGACTTGTCTAATCTAATATTATTCAACAAACAGAGCAATAATATTGCTACTTACTTGTAATTATCTTATGATCGGCCTGTTCATTCATTTCCTTTTCAATATCTATAAGCAACACTTTTCAAACCTTTTATAATTCAAAATTCAAATTGCGTTTGTACATAAACTCATTTCGTGCCAGTGGTTAAATTATATTTTCAACATCTGTAGCTTCTTTAATTTAGATTTTAGTAATATTGCTATTATTTATAGTAAATAATTAAGCAAGTTGATATTAACCAACAGTTACAACTTAATTCTGATTTATATATGAACTGGACACTATAATATGGATTCGAATTTATAATTATTTAATGTTAATTGCAGCGAGCAAGCTGTTCCTGTCCTGCACTTTATTAAAACATTTTTATTGAATTTTATTGTTGAATAACTGAAAAAAACAAACAAACAAATTATTCAGTAAAAAAGGTGACAGTTAAGTATAGGCAACCCATTATACAGCATTAAGTATGTAACTTTGCCTATTAACAAGACCATATAACCCATATAATATTATAGTATTTTTTTATAATAATAAACTGTGTAGTCTGCCTACAAATTCTACAATGCAAATATGAATTCCACAACAGTAAATACCATTAAGATGAATCATTTAAATTCCTCTTTTGCAACTGCTAGGTACTAATTGTTTTCGATGCTGCAAAAATAATTCCCGTATAAACCTTTTCCCAAAGTATTTTTGTTCATAAAGATAACAGCTAAGGATGATTTATTAAAATTGAAATTGAATTCAAATTGAAAATTAATAATCATGTTAGAGGAGTAACGTGTAAAACTAAATGATGTAAAACAAGTAGGTACCTATAGTTTGTAGTTTCCAAAAAAGTAACACTATTCGTTTTTAAAACGCATTTTAATTTTTGTCTCTCGTCTAAATTTTTTTTAAGGAACCCAAAATTGACATTCTCAGCAAAATAAAAGAGGATTATCCAAATTTTCCTTCTACAATTCCTACTATAACTCTTATAGTAATATAATTTCGATACAAAGCTCTCGTAAAAAAAGATAAACTCGTCTATAAAGGATGATACTTTAAAACCGGTTTAAGGCTATTTAACTATCCTCAAGAAAGCTTTAAAGGGTTATGATCTCTAACTTTTATTGTAGAGTATATCATTATAAAGTTAGCGGTATTTTTGATAAAAAATATTAAAGATACATTATTTTAACAAAGAAAAGGTATACTTGTTAATAACTTCAAAACTTAACAGTTTTCGAGATAATCGCATTTTACAAATCAACTGCATAATTCTGATTTAACGCAATTACTCCAGGCAATGAAAGAAAAATAGATAAAAACATCAATACTTCTAAATTTTGTTATAAAATTCCTTTAATAAAGTTAATAGTTAACGAGATATTAAATAAAATAAATATATCAGCAGGATAATTAATAATAGAATTCGATAAAATAACAGAATAATTGGATTTTACATTAAACATTTTACGTTTTGTATTAAATTAAAGTCATAATCAAAACATTTTATTTACAAACCAAATTAAGAAATTGTTAAACTAAATAACATTAAACTTTTTGTCAAAGTAAGTGTTCGATATGTCCACCATTTTCTTTAATTCATTTGTTAATGCATTCTATAAAATATTGTCTCATATTAAATAGCATCATTGGTTCTAAAGAAACAGCTGCAGTACTTATTATAAGTAGGTATAACAATAGGTATTCGTTTGGGATTTTTATGAAGTAAATAATTATATTAATATCTTACCACATAATCAAGGAATATGACTATCACGAACAATCCAACGTTCAGGAAAGTTTTTTTTAAATACTCTCACTCCCCTTTCTCTGTAATGTATTGGTGTACCATCTTGCATAAACCAAATATTTAGCCTTATGTTTGATGACAATTCTTCCAATAAATCAATAAAATCATTTTATAAAAATCTAAATAAATCTAACCATCCAAATTGCAAGGTAATTCGCATATCAATAAAATATCATACAAAATTCATATTTAAAATGCATGTCCTATGGTTTGGAATCATTGGTAATTATTTTTTACGGATATGCGAATTACTTTGCAATTTGAATGTCGAGATTTATTTACATTTTTTATAAAATTATTTTATTGATTTATTCAAAGAATTGTCATCAAACTTAAGGCGAAATATGTGGTTTCTATAAGATGGTACACCATTACGTTACAGAGAAAGCGGAGTGAGACAGTGTTTAAAAACAACTTTCCTGAACGTTGAATTTTTCGTGGTAGTCATATTCTTGTGGTAGATATTAATATAATTATTTAATTCATAAAAATTTCAAAAAATTACTTATTATTATACGTATAACACTTATAATAAATACTGCAGCAGTTTCTTTAGAACCAATGATGCTATTTAATATGAGACGATATTTTATGGAATGTATTGACAAATGAATTAAAGAAAATGGTGGACATATTGAACACTTACTTTGACAAAAAGTTCAACGTTATTTAGTTTAACTATTTCTTAATTTGGTTTGTAAATAAAATGTTTTAATTATGCCTTTAATTTAATACAAAACGTAAAATGTTTGATGTAAAATCCAATTATTCTGTTATTTATCAAATCCTGTTATTTTATCCTGCTGATATATTTATTTTATTTAATAATTCGTTAACTATTAACTTTATTAAAGGTATTTTATACCAAAATTCTACTATCAAAAGAAAATTATACCCTTTCAAACTCTCATAGTTATAGCTTTGGTAGTTATTCCCAGAATTATTTATCATTAGGTATTTGACTTATTGTATACTCAGTACGTGATTTGCAAATTGTTTTAAAAAGCTATAAATTATTTAAGATAAAGTAAAAGTAAATTGTAAATGGATAGCAAACGTGATCAATAAGACTTATATTGGCTTATATGAAGTCGAGCCGCTTTTTACGTAGACCATAGCCGGTATTTCTGCCTCGTGACGAAAAAGAATTCTCAAAGGATGTGGGAAAACTAATATATATTCTGATAAGGTTCTGCGGTAGGGAGGTAAATTGCATTTAGTATAATTGGCTTGTAAGCTATGAAAATCCGAAAGATATATATGGACTTAATTTCGGTCTTCCAGCTACTGAGAATATTTTAATTACGTTTGGGTATCTGAAAGCCAAACATTTCTTGCCTTTCGCTTTCTCCCGCCGTTTGCTCTAATTGATTGTTCTTGGTCGATATTGTTATTGTATTAAGATGAGTCTGCGAATTTGGCTAATATTGGGAAATACAACTAGGGCAGTTTTTTAAAGACGGATAATTCGTTGTTAGATTTTATTTAATTTAAAACATGTTTGTTTTATTAAAAAGAAACATTGCCGCATCCACCAACAGGTTATTAGCGGCGTAAGTAGTAAACAAAACTTTAAATCTGATACAAAATATTAATTGATCTTAGGCAATTTAACCCTTAACTACCATGGCCAAAAATAGTAACATTTGTACCATGGCAGGGTCAAATTTGGCCCCCCATTGTTTTTTGTATCAAAAAATATTCTTTTTTTAACTTGTTTTATTTTAAATTATTTTGTTTACAGCTACTTTTACATTTATATAAAAATAAACGAATTTGGTTAATTATATATAACTTTATTTAAAAAAAAACTTTTGTATTCAGTCAAATTAACATAGTTATGCACTTTCTCGAATTATAAGAAAAATAATAACAGTGTGCAGTTTTTTATATCCAATGGTGAAATCTAGGTATCATAGCTCCTACCTAAAATAAAAAAATCGATTTAAATTTCGTATCTCAAAAATGACAAGCATGATTTTACCTTAATTTTCAACACAGCTTATGCATAACGTCTGTATGCGGGAATGATTTTTGCAAATAAAATCTCGACATTTATAGCACGATGAGCTTTCTTTCTTTTGGTTTTTGGAATATGGACATATTTTACACCTTCCCCTCTTTTTTCGTCGTTGCGGAAACTTTAAAAATGGCACTACGAATTTCTCTCGGTGAACAAGTTTACTGAGTTCTACGAGTTAAATGGGCCTTAATAAGTTCTTGACCTAAAGTGGTTAGAAACAATCTTCTTTCCATTATTTGATTTTGCTGAACTCTATTAAAAATTACGTTAGCATTTAATCCTGCAATGTCCAAAATGTGAAACCATATTACTTGAGGCCATCTACGAGTTCTTCTGGCAGTTTTATAGCATGCACATTTCTTATCCAATGAATCCATCCCACCTTTTGTCTCGTTGTAAAAATTTATAATCTCTGGCTTTCCATTAACCATTGTATTGGAATGATGCATAGTTGACACTAACAACACTGCACGATTTTTCTTAGGAACAAAAGATACAAGGCTCTCGCTTCCTATAAACCCAAATAAGGACGAAAACCAATTATCTGCTGTTATGTTTCTATTTGTACCAGAAATTGGTGGAATAAGTGTCAAAACA